CTAACAAACCATCATTTCAAAGTTTGGCAGATGACGCAAACACCTGAAGATTGTGGGGAGGAGGGTGGGAAGTGTGTGAGGAGGGAAGTACTTATTGGACATACATTTTCAGAATAGGAAAATTATAACTTCCAATATGGTTGTTCCCTCTGCTCACAAGATTAGCTAGAATCCCACACTGAAAAGGAGGAGTGACTGGTATGAGGGAAAAACAGATATACCCCCCAGAAAGCATCAAAAGGATACTTCTGTAGATGAGAGAAACAGATCAGATGATCTGAGAAGGGGCACCACATCACTTCTGAGCCAGTTATCTCTTCGCCATGAACAGCTAGGAACAAACCTGGAAGAAAAAGGAAGGGAGCACATCTGAGTGAAAGAGGATAAGTCAATCCCACAGAAATAAAGTGGATAATGGAGGTTGTGTCCCATTGTATAGAATGGCTAGGGTGCAGCAGACTGTACTCGGTAAGTTATCTACATCCAAAAGCTCCTCGCTGGGTACTGACATCCACGTGAGGGTAGAATGAGGATCATACCAGCTTCACCTCAAACCCCAAAATTGTGTATGTGAGGAAAACACCAATTCCAGGGAATGACAAGGGATTAGCATTAAGTTAGGGATCCAGAAATGTGTCATCCGATATCTGAGGGAAGTTTATTGCATGCAATAAACTACCGCGACCATGAGACTGGTTTGAAACATCCAAAGGTCAATAACATCCCCATCGCAAGAAAGAACCATCCCATGTATACCCTCTGTGACCCACTATACAGAGGGAAGATGGACAACCCCAAACCTGTGTGAGGACTTAAGTTGATTGGTTCAATCGATATCCAAAACCAGCCCACAGGGTACTAACATCTGCACAAGGGTAGAATGAGAGCACCCAATCGAAGAGGTGAACTGCATTTAGATGTGTCACTTTTATCCACTTCTGCTTTACCCATGCCATTCATTAGTGGTATGGTCTGGAATGAGCCTAATTATGAAGCAAGTATCACGAGGTTATTGACCATCCAGTGATCTTGTGAAACACCCCATCTCGAAGATGAGCATGCAAATCAACATGGTATACAGTGTAGATTTATTTGTGTTTGTAAAGAATACATAGTCAGGAACCACTCACCACAAAGTGGAATCCATGAGACGAAATTTGAAGCAAGTGCCCCTGAAAGAAAAGAAAGCATTAATAAAGACTTACCTAGTGTCATACCCACACCAAAGTGTGAAGTATAGCCACAGGTGGTAGGCGATACCTCGGGGAAGCACAAACTGCAAATGATGTAAGTAATGGGAGATGAACGTCTAAGGGGTGGTCCATATGCCCAACTGCAGAATCTCCTCCAAAGGCTAATGAAGATGAGAAGCAACGGAAAAGGTGAGGTGTTGGATTTGATGGGAGGTAACACAGAACAAAGCATGTTAGAAAGGTAACAAGGAGGAATAAACCAACTGGATTAAACAACAAACCCAACTGGTAAAAGTAAAGGGAGAAAGATCCTGAGAAGAATAGAGTTGCCTTGGGAGAAAGA